ACAGCATGCTAGTATTAAATTATATCACTTGAAATGCAGCTGCAAAATTGTTATAATAGATTTACTCTTTATTTATTGCACCAACATAAGACGGAAATCACAATCATTATCGAAAATCCCTACTCGTACTATTTAAGGAAATATACTTAGATTTTCTCATCCGAACCACGACTTTCGACAACGGCTCTCACTAATACATATATGTATATATTTACTTATGTGAACATCTTTACGTGTCTCATCTTACACCATATATGCGTACGCTTCTGCATTTAATAGGGACATAATACCATATATCAAGACGATCGTCCGTGTTTGATTGCGTGCACATATTTCGGCATGCCGGGATTCTTATTTACATCATATATAATTCGAGTGAAGTGAAAATAATGCCACTTATAGAATCGCATTTCCGACGCCGAATGCCTTTTCTTTTCCTTCTTTTTTTTTTTCTTTTTTTGGTAGACAACGTGACTAACATTTGCGTGAAATATTTCGCGCGAATTCAAATGTACATATTAATTAAAGCATCGCGTATTACACATAATTATTAGTCGATTTCTTGCAGAAGCTATGTGTGTGTGGGTGTGTACGTACGTAAATGTTATGTCTCGAAATCTTTACCACATGCGAATACGGAATAGTGTATCGATAAATTTTTTTTTTTCTTCACCATGATATATCAGTTACCTACAATTTTCTTTGACATAACGGAACTATATGTACGGATGTAATGCCAGTGCTCTGCCACGTAAACCCTTTTGGCCTCCGACACCACCCTTTGGTATAACATATCCTCCTGCGTGTCTCGCTGTACCTTCTTCCTCTAAATTGCCATTACTCTCGATCAAATCGCGTAAAGGCCAACAAGCTAGATGACGTGACTTACCGTGACGCGCCAGAACGTGATATCCTTGTCTAAAAATATTAAAAACAAAAGTATATAATTTTCTTTCGTTAACTCACGTACAGGGGTTTCGAAAAGTCCGGTCGAATATCTCAAAAATAACGCATTTTAGAAAAAAATGTTTCAGACGAAAGTTGTATGGCTTGAAGGGGGCCATCAGATAGTGGCAATGATTTGACCTTGGAGAGTCATTTGAAGGTGACGTAAAGGTCACCTTCAATTTCTTAAATGGAACTCTCTATTTTTTATTACATATTCTTGTAGCTTATCCCGAGAGCTTTCCAAAACACTATAATTAAGTATTTTTTCCTTAAGTGCTTTTCGAGTTATGAGGCTTGAAATAATTTCTTAATTTTACATAAACCATAAAATATCTAGTAAAATATTCATTTTTCGATTATCTTAACTTAATACTCTTATGCACAAAATAATGTGAGGAATCAATTGGTGTAAAGAAAATATAATAGTTTCTAAAAAAAATATGTAATTTGCAATTAACAATTACATATTTTTTCTCAAAAACAACTATTTCTTTTATTTTTATTACACTAATTGATTCCTCAGATTATTCTGTGCACAAAAGTATTAAGGTAAGATAATCGAAAAATGAATATTTTATTAGATATTTAGTTTATGTAAAATTAAGAAATTATTTCAAGCCTCATAACTTGAAAAGCACTTAAGGAAAAAATACTTAATTATAGTGTTTTGGAAAGCTCTCGGGATAAGCTACAAGAATATGCAAAAATATATCGGATGTTCCATTTAAGAAATTCAAGGTGACCTTCATGTAACCTTTCAGCGACTATTCAAGGTCAAACCATTGCCATCATTTTATAGCTCTCTTTAAATCAAACAACTTTTATATGAAACATTTTTCTCTAAAATGCTTTATTTTTTAAATATTCGATCGTTTCCGGACTTTTCGAAAAACCTGTACAAAGGAAACATAGACAATAACTTGTTGTAATTCAAATTACAAATAATTACTAAATCTATCAGTCCTTTAATTTTAATATTCGCTGTACCTGGAAGAGATTAGTCCCACGAGCAATGCCCAATGCGCTTTATGGCCCCTCTTCAAACACGGGGCATGGTTAAAATCTGAATCGTACGGAATCAGCACCATCGCTCCGTGCGCCAAAGCATGAGTTAACGTATCTGGGCATTGTTGTAAATCCACTAGAATATCTGGTCTGTGATCGGGCAGATATTCCGCAGCCAATGTTCCCATAAAGTCGACACTGTAAACCTCCCCGTGTTGCGTGAATCCTCGAACACGAGCTTCGGCAAGAAGCTGACTCACGGAAACTGGTTTTGTATATTCCTGCGATGCCATTGCGAGTGCTACCAAACCACATCTGTGAAACATTTCGACATCAATTGTCTGTATCGAGTAATCAGCATAAATATATGAAATGGAGAATTAATTTATAAATTATTAATAAATTATTGATAAATTATTTTTCAAGTAAGTTTACGTATTTCAGCACATATGTTGAAAAACATATTAAAGCACTATTACTTTGGACAGCACTGTATCTAATCGATTCAGATATGTAACACCTTTGTTATATTTTTATCACATCATCACATTTGCGCTGAAGATGACCCAAAAATAGGTTCGCTATCCCTTCTTATTTGCTTCATACTTTTTTATTGCATAATAAATAAATAAATGTGTTATAAACATCGACGCTCGACTCATATTGCTTGAGACTAATTTGTTAATTTTAAATTTCGAGTCTTGTACCTTTATTATATTAAAACAATAATGCTTACTGTGGCCCGTCTTGAAGAATTGGTTCCACTTGACAGAAGTAAGTTACCTCTGCGTCCTTCAATTCATTCCTCGAGATCAGCTTTTCGATTTCAGCCTCGGCAGATGTGAGCGTAATTTTAGCCCAGGGGGGCAGCGAATCGGTATCATTGACTTCCGTCTTTTCGCACATAGGTGCTTCTGGCAGGTTTGAAAGAGGCGGGGGTGGTGCTGGCATTTCTCGACGCCAAAGTGCAAATAGGCAATTGCTGAATTGAATACAAAAGGCTTGAAAACGCTCCGACAGCTACAAGGTATCATCCGTAGGTGTGATGAGATTTGATTCTATCATTGTTCACAATGGTATTACGAGAACATTCGACTGGAACATCCTTTGTTCATCCTAAACAGCCTCTTGGGACCTTCTGCAAGACCTGCGAAAACATAAACAATCTTAAATTTCGAATTTAGTCGAATCCCAACGTGCAACCGACTCCAGCTATTGGTGCCTGGGACTCGTGGAATCGTTAGTCTCGTTATTTGAATCTACAACACAGACCGGGGGAGGGGGGGAAAGACATGTTGTCATCAAACTGTACCTCTGTCAATCGTTGAAATCTCGGAAAAACCCGACAATACGAATACAATGGGATTATTGGCACTTGGAATCGAACGACCCGAGGAGGATGTTGACGCAAAATCTCACGAAGCGACGTTCGGGGGATTTCTAATGGCAGCGCGATAAACACATGAAGAAAGAATAATAATCAACAGAATCGGTCACGGAACAATACATTACTGATATATAATACTCTCGACTACCCGATGACAGGTGTGATCGAAAAGTGCGATGGCTCGCCCGGGGAACAAAACACAGAGATCGGCTGTTTTATATTTATCGTGCAAGCGAGATGAGGAAGAAGAAGACGGGAAGGGGAGATACCTTGCCGTATGACTTTGACGTTTGGCACACGTCCCCCTCTACCCCCACCTTCCCCACCGCCAGCCAACCTACCGTTCGGCCTGTGACAGTTCGTGACTCATGCACAGTGTTTGCTGGTATCTAGATAAAATTATCTAGATAAAGAATGAATCATCTTTATCTTTAACCAGATGAAGAAATACAAAGTATCTTTATCTTTATCTTAGATGAAAAATATATGTCATCTTATCTAAAAATTGTCTAAGATGACGTTTTCATTGTGCAAGTTTTGCAGGCAAGCTTTTAAAAATCTATCAAAAATATCTGAAATATATTTTTCATATTATTATTATTAATATATTATAAATATATTATTATTATATTATTAATATATTATAAATAGATTATAAATATAAATTAATAAATAAATATTTATCATATCATTTATATACTTTTTTGTTATTATTTAAATATTCTTTAAGAAAAGAGAAAGAATGTGTTTATGATTTTAATATCCTATTTATAATCTACGTCACATTTTTTAACAAATATTTATAGTCTTCTAAAATAAACAAAAGTATCTAGATAATTATCTAGATAATCGCAATAATCATCTCATCTTTCATCTAGATTAAGTAAAAGCAAAATCATCTTTATCTCATCTGAGATAAATTTACGGATTTTTATCTTTATCTTTATCTAGATAATTTTGAAATTATCTACAGCAAACACTGCTCATGCATATACATTATGTAAGTCTGAAATGGGAGTACTAACGCTCTCTCGCGTGCATCCATGTCACGTCTCGTTCCGGCCTCGGCCTCGGATTATCGAGAGGACTCTCGAAGGGCGGTTAATCGAGCGAGGCGTCCTGGACGACCCGAGACTCGAGTTTCGCGGTTATGTCCTCTCAATCGTTCCTTGTAAACGCGAGCTCGGGATACTCTGCTCGCGCGGACGTCCGACGAACGACGTCGGACGTATGTCGAAAAATTTATATGTTATGCATGTATATGTGTATATATGTGTTCGTCTGATAAGAAGCTTCTCGTAGGTGATGCGGGATTCGAGACGAGACGACTCGCGCACCCACTCTGAGCAAAGCCATCCGCAGGAGCTGCCAGATCCACGAAGGAAGCAACATGCAACACGTAATGGAGGGGGTAACGGACATGCGAGCGTAAAGGCCGCAGCACACACTTTTGCATAAGCGCATAACCATAAGCATAAGGAAATTGATTGGTCCCCAAGTATATGCATAAGAAAATGAACCAATCAATTTTCTTATGCTTATGGTTATGCGCTTATGCAAAAGTGTGTGCTGCGGCCTTAAAGGTGCAATTTCATTGACGCTATAAAGTAGCGTCAATCATTGGTTGAACAAAGAAGTAAGTAGTTGCTTCTTTGTTCTTTAGCATCAATGAAATTGCACCTTAAGCGTATGTACAGTGCGCACCAATAGCCACATTCAGTGCACTTAGGCCCGGTTCCATAACTCGAGTTAATCCGAGTTTAATACATTAAACTGGATCCTGATTGGTCCATTCGCTACTTAAACTCGGATTAACTGGATTGTGGAACTGGGCCTTAACAGTTGGGCAACATTACTAGATTTTCCGATGTAATTCGACGCTGATTGGTCAGACCTGAAAGTAGAGACCAATCATATTCGATTGCTATTTAGCGGTTAAGGCCCAGTTCCACAATTCAGTTAATCCGAGTTTAAGTAGTGAATGGACCAATCAGGATCTAGTTTAATGTATTAATCCGAGTTTAATACGTTAAACTGGGTTCTGATTGGTCCATTCGCTACTTAAACTCGGATTAATTGGATTGTGGAACTGGGCCTAAGGTCGGTATTCATAGTCCGATCTTATATTTAAGATCGTCTTAAGTCTGGTCCGAGGTTGACTTAAGACCTCATTCAACCAATCAAATAGCTGCGTAGCATTTCAAGCTCGAACTTAAGACGATCTCAAATATAAGATCGGACTATGAATACCGGCCTAAATCCGCTAAATGTGGTCAATGCTCTTGTCTCTGAGCGGGGCAAGGGTAAGGCACTAAATATATGAGTATTCTATACTCCGCCATTTTTAATCCATCCCCCCATCCCATATAATAATATAATCTCACTAAGGCCCGTTTCTACCAACGCCGCTTAACTTTAATCTTAAGGTGCGGCCTCATTGACGCTAAAAAGTAGCGTCAACCATTGGTTGAACAAAGAGGTAAGTATACTTACCTCTTTGTTCAACCAATGGTTGACGCTACTTTTTAGCGTCAATGAGGCCGCACCTTTAGCTTAACTCATTCTTTGTCTCCTTTTAACTGTTCTTTTAGAAAGAGACAAAGAATGAGTTAAGCTAAGATTAAAGTTAAGCGGCGTTGGTAGAAACGGGCCTAACCTATCTACTATAATCTCAGCTTAGCGACGAGGCGAGTGACACGAGAAACAAGGAGGGGGAATGGATTAAAAATGGCGAAGTATAGAATACCTGTATATTTAGTGCTCTAGTGACTAGAGAACCTCTAGGAGAGAGAATGGACAACTGATCATGTGACATGTGATCAAGCTTTTTCATGATTGGCTGGCAGAAAATGTATCAATTTTAGCTATTGCGACGCCAATGCAAAATATGATGACACACAAATAGGTTAATATATGGGTGCTTTCCAGCTATGGTAACACAGTGATACACTGTGTGACACAGTGTTACACAGTGTCGACTTGTAGTTGGAACGCTTTTTAGCTTTTTTATTTTGCCACTAGAGTGCAGGGCAGTCACTTTTAATAGTTGTCACTAGGTCTAAATTTTCAGAACGTTCCCACACAACATTATGTCGTCTTAAAGACGTCTAGATGTCTTTAAGTCGTCTTTTGATGTCTTTTGGACGCAATATCACGCAATACCATTCTTAAAAAAATTAATGATACCAAATATGAAATGTTATGTTGGCACTCACTGGGGTGCTACAAAACGACGACACAGGCGAACACAGCATTTTTGCTGTGTACGATTGTGTCGACTTGTGTCGTAGTTGGAAAGCACCTGTGTCGACACTGTAGCGACACAGTGTCGCCTGTGTTGCTTGCTGGAAAGCACCCTATGTGTGTCATGTGTGTCCTATTTGTGTGTCATCATATTTTGCATTGGCATCGCAATAGCTAAAATTGATACATTTTCTGCCAGCCAATCATGAAAAAGCTTGATCAGTTGTCCATTCTCTCTCCTAGAGGTTCTCTAATTTTATCAATCAATAACTGCATTGTAACTATTTGATTGGTTGAATGAGTTCTTAAGATGATCTTAAATATAAGACCGGGCTATGAATACCAGCCTAAGGAGCAATTAGGAGCATGCTCCATGTGCCTCACCTTTGAAGGTGGTGCAGTTGAGACAAATGTGCGCGCAAGCGTAATATATAGAATATGAATTGATGGATGGTTGCAAAAGCATCAAGATGAGATCCATGTTGTCATAATACTGTAATGCGTGATTGGATTTGGAAGCAAAAAAGAAAGGGAAGTGCATCAAGTCCGTTCGTGTCACCAAATGTTGGTGCATATGAACTCATCTGCTCTAACCGCCATCTTACCTGTGATCCAAATGCTCTCTGGAGTACATTGGAACATGCGACGCGAACAAACCTAATGAGTCGTAAGTCGTAGACAAATTGACCAATCATGGTTGATTATTTTTGAAATAATACGACCAATATAGATCCGGCTTTAAATTCGAGCTTGAAATGCTACGCAGCTATTTGATTGGTTGAATGAGGTCTTAAGTCAACCTCGGACCAGACTGAAGGCTATAGCACACACTTTCCATAAGAAATAACAGTAAGGTTTCGACCAATTGCGTTGCTCAATTTGGTCGTCCGTAACCAAATTGAGCAACGCGATTGGTCGAAACCTTACTGTTATGTCTTATAGAAAGTGTATGTTAGGGCCTATCCAGACAAACCTGCATAGGTGCATATGCATAAGGGTGCGTTTTCACTTGACGCTAAAAAGTAGCGTCAAGTGAAAACGCACTCTAACATAAAACCATATGGACCAATGAGCATCGAGTATTATGTTATGTAAGTCAATATAGCGATTTAATGCTCGATGCTCATTGGTCCATATGGTCTTATGTTATGCATATGCACCTATGCAAGTTTGTCTGGATAGGCCCTTATAAGGGCCTATCCAAACAAACTTGCATAAGACATAAGCATATGCATAATCATAACCATAATAAAAGCTTATCCAGATAAACTTGCATAGCATTGATAAGCATAATGTATAAAGAAATCGACCAATCATAAAGTTGCGTTTCGAAATTCATTGTCAATATTGGTAATTGGCAATGAATTTCGGAACACAATCGCCGGTGTTATTATACTATAGTTTATTACCAAAGAATAAAATATTTGCCTCGTTCCTTTTTTGTGTATATTTTTAAAATCGACTACACTTTTGTCATACAAATGAGGAAAATTTTTGACAAGATCTATTAAAATTGTATCAGTATCGGCTTCATTATATTCATATTCATATTCTTGAGTGAGATCATTTACTTTTTCTGATTCCATCTTCTGACTTCAGTATTTATAGTATTTTTTTTCTTCTGGAATATTGTTAAACCTTGTAAATATATTTTACAATTATTTTTGTATTGATCGCATATTTTTTCTTAGACATTTAAATTGGCATTTCTAACTGTACTTTTTATTATTATATTCTCCTAATAAATCGATTATAGAAAAGTATAAATATATAATCAATAATAATGTACATATAATGTATGTAATAATGTAAAAATATGTAATCAACAATGTGTTTGCAATTCATGAATTTAATACGACAATCACTATATTTATTTATAATTGTATGCATAGAAAGATTGTATAATATATTAAAAAATTGTAAGAATATATATAATTTATAAAAATTTATAACAAATTCTAATATTGTAAATATAATGTAATATTGTAAATTGTGATAAAATTAAATATATATTAGCTATAAAAATGTATATCATATCTTATTATTATATAGAAATATTTTTTAATTATTTATTCGTTTTTTATTTTTAGGAATCTTACCTGCACAATGGAATAGCTTGCTGGTTTAATCACAGATTATGAGACACCTCCGATTAGAGACAGTACAATTGGACATAACTGGTTTTGATTGGCTAATCGTGCTTGATCGTGCTGGTTACCCTAAGCATCGGTCGATATGATTGGCTGTTTCTAATCGTACTGTGTCTAATCGGGCAATCCCCTTAGCTCTTGCGGGGATTAATTAATATTAATTAATAATTGAAAATAAAACTACGCCACAAAATATCGCAAAATATTGCAATATATATAAATAAATCTAAATTACTCCTAAATGCAGAATAATAGTCTGCTCCCTCAGATATCGCAAAATATCGCAAAATATCGCAATATAAATAAACCTAAACTACCCCTAGATATTTAATATTATACTGCGCCCCCAAAAATCGCAAAATATCGCAATATAAATAAACCTAAAGTACCCCTAGATACAGAATAATACTCTGCGCCCCAAGATATCGCAAAATATCGCATTGAAATTAAATCTATACTACTCGTAGATAATTAATATTACACTGTGCCCATAAATATCGCAAAATATTGCAAAATATCGCAATATAAATAAATCTAAACTACCTCTAGATAGAGAATATTACTTTAAGCCCACAGATATCGGAAAATATCTAAACTTTACTGCTCGAATGTTATCGAGCAAATAATAGCAATACCATAATGTACAAACAATAGCACGCTATTGTTTACGTCGTCAAAATCGAACATAATATTATTGATAATTCGTTCCCGAAATATTTTATATAATATATTATATAATTTATAAAATATACACGAGCGGAATATTAAATTATAGAAGTATTTTAATTTATTGATTAAAATTATTTATTAAACATTTCATCACAAAGCTAATTATTTGAATTTATTCGATTGTTTTATCGCGCTTTTCCGAATTCAAATTCTATAATATTTAATTTTGCATTTTAAAAGACCCATTGACGACCATTCCGAGCAATCGATCGAATTCTAACCGATTCGGCTCGAATCACTTGACGAAGTAGAGCGTGACCATCACTAAGCCGACTTGAGCATAAAGCTCGATAATGCGAAAATATTACAACGCGAAAACACGGTGACGAATCGTCGCCGTCTGCTGCACGTTGACGGCACCGACGACGCGAAAGGATAGCTTCAGGCTCCTTAAGATTTATCATAAATTTATCATAAATAGAAAAATTTAAGATAAAACTCAAGGCACCATCCAAGTACTAAACTCTCCCACCACGATAAGGTACATCCCATGGGGAGGGTTATATATGATATATAAATTCTATATAATATAATATATAATTTGGAATTTATCTGGTAATAAAGTATACAAATTTAAATTCACATAACAAGACCGTAAAATAAAATCATCAGCTTATTGTTTATGTCGCCAAGGTAGGATACTAGGATAATTTATTGTGGAAATATTTTAACATGTTAATGTATCGTAAGATTAAAAGATTAAATTAATATATATATATAGTGATATATAACTATTATATAATTAACAAGGATTGCCGATTAAGAAAATTTAAAGCATTGGTTAAAATATATTTAATTATAATATTTTTAAAGAAATATTTTAAAGAAATATTATTATAATAAGCATCAATGATCGAAAGATCATAATATAATTAATTCTCTTATCCCCTTTTATGTATTTCCTATTTCAATTTTTATTCGTAGTAATGAATGATTGCGATTCGATAAAGATTTATCGTTGTGGAACATTTTTATGTCGTTTATCTGAAGTTAATTAATTTTTAATTATTAATAATTATAGCAAATTATGTTTCGATACTAATCATAGTCGTGTTTAGATTACAATATATGAGGCGTTTCCACCATTACTTTATTATACTCGAGTGTACCGTGGGAATGATGACAAAGCCCTAACATAGCGCGCTACTGTTTACATTTTATATTGCCAAAGCCGAACATCGTATTATCGATAATTCGTTGCCGACATATTTTATATATTATAAAATATACACTAACGCGGAATATTAAATTATAGAAGTATTTTAATTTATTGATTAAAATTGATTATTTATTAAATAATTCATCATGGAACTTTATGCATAAAATATCTAAATAATATATTATTGTAAAGCAATTTATAAAATATTACTATCTCTATAAAGTATTAATTAATACGAGAACATTTTATAGATATTTTAAGTATATTAAAATAAAATCCAGAATATTTTATATGTTATACTAATGTAATTTAAAAATTTAAATAATTTAGATAATTTAGAATGAGAGAGAGAGATTCGTAATATAAATATTCGTAAATAAATAAAATGAATGATTGAAAATGAATTATTGAATGATTAAAATAAATAAGATGCAGACCCGAGATAACATCACATAAACAGAATCATTGAAATTGAAATTGAAATATGCGATCTCGGAATCACATCATAAAGTACTTATTGACGTCAGCTGCGTTTCATAAAATGTTTTGCAGTCTATTGACGACAACAATTGATGGTAGTTAAAGAATTAAGTATCCATTGATTTAAATAATCTGTTGTTGCAATACAGCGAAAATTAAATCAAACTTCAAATTTTTTCTCGAAAATATTATATTAGAAGTGACATTGAAAAGATAATTTATTGAATCCAATAGATACTATCAAATTGATATAAATAAATTATAGAGGAATAAATTGTAAACAGATATTAGTATTGGAATGTTTGTTCAATATTTCATCAAACATTCGACATGCATATTTTTGTATCTTATGTAAAATTTGTGCTTTAATGTATTAACTAATATTAACTATTCTGTAAATTCATAAATATTAACACATACAATTGTAATTTTTTTTCAAGTCTTTTTTACATAATGTTTTGAAGCTCTTTCCTATTTCAAATTATATATATAAATTTTTGTACGTATACTGATATTATTTCTAAAGAGAATAAATTTTTATAAATTTATAAATATTTGTGAAAATATATATATTATTGTGTATCAATTTAAAGAAAACATTATATAAACACTTGTTGAAATTATTAAAAATATTCTTATGCAGAATGTCTCTTTAATAATACAAAAACATTTTTGGAAATAAAAATGTATCATTTAATATATGAATGGACTGAACGAGTCACAAGAGGAGACCGGTTAATATTACATAATTATTTTCAATATTTAACAAAGTGTGATTAACGTGTTTATCCCATTTTTTTTGGAAATAAAGCAATTGATTTATAGCGAAAAAAAGAGAAAATTTAGTTTTAAGCACACTAGTACATATTATAAAGGTTGTCACATACAAAATTACAGTAGTATAATTTAAATAATAAAGTAATTAATATTATAAGTTATTATAATATATTATATTACATTAATTATAAAGTTATATAAGTTATTATATTTTAGATTATTCCGTACAAATAATGATAATAATAGCTCGTAGAATTAATTATTTTATTTATTTTAGTTATTTTTACAGTTTACGTGCTATTGCATATTTATTGTATATTTATTTATATTTGTGTAAAAACGCTGCCATATTACGTATTGCTTGATTCAAAATGCATTGTGTGAATAAAAAACGTGTAAATCTCTTTTTTTCTAAGTCCATTATTACTTTTTTTATAATCAGAATATTTTTTTATATAATAAGTGTTTTTCTTATGCTAAAGAGAAGATTACGCAAAAATAAATGAATATAAAAAGATAATAAAATAAAGTTTAATAAAATTTATTAAACAGTCATATATATATATATATATATATATATATATATATATATGACTGTTTAATAAATTTTATATATATATACATCTTTGTCTTATATATATAAATTTTTTAACAAACAATTCTTAAGGATTTAAATTTCTTTTGAAATAACGAGTATCTTCGCGGAAACAAATAAATTACAAACGGAATGGAGCTAATAAAATGTCATGGTAACAGATCGGATTGACCATTCGAAGTCAGTTACTACTGTGATCGCTAGCCAAACGCTACCACGGTTATATACCGCTTGTTTCAAACAGCATTGTATGAAGTTTAGAGAAACCGTATAACTGTGTATGAATAGTGGATTTTAAAAAACAGCACGTAGTAACACAATCGTGCGAACAAATTGTCATAATTACATATTTAATAACAGATATAGCAAATACTGAGTGAATTCGATTATACGCTGTGTGTACTTGAATATGGCTGAAAATGTTACAAGATCTATAATTCTATAATTTCTTAGATTGTTTGTAATTTTATTGTGGTTATCTTTTTATTGGCTGCTTTTCTATTAATAAAAAAGAAAAGCTAATAATAATTATATTCCTGTATTCGCGATACAATCCAATGAATATGTACCATAGAAATTATTTACTCACTCAGAATTCTTTAATTTAATCTTAAGATATATACTGTGATCGTGATCATAAAGAGAAATCTAAAAACATAATAAAAACATTAGAAGATAATAACTTGCGATTCGTTAAAACAGACTTTTAAAGAATTTATTGAAAATATATATATTTATGTGAATTAATATCAATTCGATTTACACATCAGAATTAGTAGAGTGAAAAAAACAATTAATTGAGGGTTGAACGGAAACCGATTGAGTTCACTAAAAATGCAAATTATGTTTGGAACAATTTTATACGTTTTATTGAAAAGTTTAATATTGACAAAGGCAACTATCACGCCGAAGGATGATAACACTTCAAACATCCTTCAGGAAGAGAGTATTTCCATGTATCAGGATATAAATTTCACGCAGGTAGGAGATATTTTTCTTGATTAAGAAACAATTGAATGTTATTGCAGCTAGTAATGTGACTAAAAATGAATGAATAAATTATATATTCTATTTATATAATAAGATAAAATAAAATAAAACAATTCTCAATATAAAAGTAAAAAATATATATGATGTTGTAAAAAACAGATGGATAAAGTTTCGAAATTTTGTTTACAAATGAATGTTATATAGTATATTAAATTTAATTAAAACAATTTCTTTCCCCCCCTCTCTTTCTCTCTCTATATATATAATTATATATATAATAATTATTTCCAAAAATAACAATTTTTAAATTTAATGAAGTTTTCTGTCTATTATCGGCTACATTAATATATACATACGATGACACTTCAATAGATTTTTGTTATTTTTCTTCAGTTTCTAAACTTTCTTTATCTTTCTAGATATTTATAATATTTATAATATTTATTGATATATAGTAAGATTTAAGTAGATTTTATTTTAAGAAATTAATTTAAAAAGTTAGCATCACTTTCTTGTGTTAAGGGTAATTATATAACGAAACAGAGCTAAATATCGAGATAAAAAATCTGTCTAATAAAAAAATCATACACCAAACATTCTTCAAATTGTATCTATTAACGTTAATATTTCGATCGACGATACATTCGATAACAATTGTTAGAATTTATATTAATTTTTATTGTACATATATCCATTCATATACAATTACATGCACATATTCTTATCAAGGCATTATCGGTTTATACTATCGGTTTATATTATCATTTTCAGGATTTGATTGTTAAAAACATAACGACACTCGAGAAAAATCTTGACAAGGATATAAATAAAAGAATATATATAATTTCTATGACTAATATTTAATAACTGTAAAGAAACAATATTTTTAACCTTTTTATGCTTGTAGTACAAACATTAATAAAACTTTAGTAATATCAGCAAATTTTTGAAAAGAAATTTAAGTTATGATAAAATTGAGAAAAGTTAACTAATCTATCATAAAAAAGAATCAAATCGTTAGACAAAATTGTTTTAATAATTGCAAAGAACTACACTTTCGCTTCTACTACTTGCTAAAAGCTGTTATGATTCGTCATTGACTCTTATTAACCTATATTGATTGATTTTCTTTTTGATATGATGAATATGTTGTTAAATATTGATATACAAGATGTTTTTAAAAAAAATAAAAAATAGAATTTACAATATGAATAAAACTAAAATCGCATTGAATATATATCATTTAGGAATGGTTTATATCAAACCGGTATTATTAAGCATACAAAGAACGAATGGTAATTTTTCGTTTAATTTTATAATTTATATTTTTTATCATTAAAAGCACCCTCCCCCCAGAAATAACCGCTTCAACGATATTCATTTTATAATTCTTTTCGTATGTTACACTTTATGAAGAATATTTCAATGTCCGAGAAAAATTATCATCGTATATTAAATTTCAAATCTGACCGGAGTCATTCTGATAGTACTGTGAGAAATGAGCGAGAAGTCGATGAAGTTACGCTTGCAAATATTTCTATCATCCCAGAATCTATCGGTAAGTTACAAAAAAATGCATCAAACATTAATAACATAATCTATGATGAAAAAGTGTAAATATAATTTAAATTTAAGAAAAAGTGAAAATCAAACCTAAAAATATCTTCCAGTAGTGAAAAAAATATAAATTCTATTTTGTCCAAAAAAGAAATAAAAAAACATACTACAAATATAACATTATACGTAAAAATTGTCATGATTTAAGGCAAAGTCAATTTTATTAATTTGCTAATTGGTTTTAAAGCAATCGCAAATATTATACTTTTGATTTCTTAAGTTACAGGAATATTTCGAAAAGTACTTCTTATTTTATTGAAAGTTATTTATTCGTTTTTGCCACGAATTAACGATTACTTTTCCAAATCTTAAATGACGCAAAAAATTCTTATATTATTTTTTTTAAAGGTTAATATTATGTTAATTTCCATATTTTGTAGTTTGCTTTTTTATTTATTTTTTCTCTTTCCTTTACCCTGGTAGAAATTTTGATCAAGCGTTTGTATGGCACTGCCCAGAGTGCCACACTGCTACTTAAGGAACTGGCATAACACGCTGGTAAGAGCCATCCTCGAAATCGTCACGTTTTGCCCGCTGGCGCTACGTTGAAATGAATTTTGTGTGGTACTAACATGGCATTAACATAGTCCTAGTAAGATATTGTCATAGGGCAGATGCGGAATTACTGTAGTATAGCATAATATTGCTTTACGAAAAAATACTGAACTATTTGACTATTGATAAAAAACTTCCTACACAGCACCAAGTCGCCTAAAAATATTACTAAAACTGGAAAAGAAATTCTGAAATCCAACAAGGAAAAAAATTTGGAATCCCACAAAAAATTCACATTATTAAACATTTTTTTTAAATTCAGTTTTTTTGTCAGAAATTAAACTTAAATTGATAAAGTGATGTTAAGTAGAAAATGTGGTTTACTCGCACACAATCAGAGAGCCATGGCTCTCTGATCGTGTACGTGAGAGCAGCGTCCTTTTTTTGGCGATACTACTCACAAAAGAAAAAAAATACTTTAGATCTCATGTGTGTACCAGTCCTTTATATACACTTCATAAAAAATTGAATACGAGTTTAGTTAAGTCTGGTGTCGCCGTATTGCGGCAAGTAAAGAAACAAATGTCGTATATTGTGTTCTTTTAATGTTATCTTTTTTGATAAAGCGAAAAGATGTCTAAGCATCTGACGTGGCGCAAGTATGGACCGCATCAGAAGCCCAGTCAAATTCCAATCTGCGCCCGTTTAACTTTATAATAATATTACGCCATTTATATATCGGCCGCGACCATAGTTTTGGAGTGGATCTTTTCAGTTTTTGAAAATAAGGTTGTGACGTAACAAACTTCCATTGCGTTGACAAGTGTTATGGCGCCGGCAAGGCAATTTCTGCCAGGGTATTTTCACATTAAATTGTTCTTTCTGATTTACTGAAATAATCCATTTAATCTTACATATATTTATGTTACGATCTTAAAATCTTTAGAAAACAGTTTAAACAAGCCAACATCTCTCAGAGCATTTGTACAATTCGACAGTCAATTCACAGAAAAAGTAAACGACATTTTTGTGACATTGAGGTAAAGAATCTAAATTTTCAGTTTGTATTCTTTTATTTTTCTCTCTTTTTCTTTCTAAATTCAACGATATATCTATATCAAAATGTTAATTCTGTTATAATTTTGTTAAATATAAAATGACTAAAATTTTATCTTTTTACAGATGGAAGCAACCGGAATTTACCGATGAAATAATACAAGGGTACACAGTGCAATGTTTTGTTATGGAGGACTTAAAAGAGATTCAAATCTGCGACGATAAAAATATCACAACATTGGAGCACACGGTGCACAATCTTAAACCTAATACGACATATTATTTCCGAGTACGTGCACATACTGAAGTTATTGCTGGTCTTTACACGGATTTCATCAATGTGTCGACTACGCATGAAAATCCAATACCCAAATTATTATTAGTAACGGATGCTGGCATCCAAATATTGGACTTAGATTCAAATACTATTAATAATCTCGTTAAACAATTGGCCATATCAGATGTCGCTTACTGTGTCCAAGAACATAAAATTTATTGGATAACCGGAAATGATCTAATGACATTGGAGATTACTGAAAATAATATCACAAAAATAGCTAGCTTTCATAAGCTAGATCATAAGCTATATTATCTCAGCTTTGACTGGGTAGCAAGAAATCTATATATGTCCTATCAAGGGCCAGTCCGCTCTTTCATTGTAAAGTTCGACTTAACAATGTGGGAAAATGGCATAATTAAATTTGAGAATATTTTGGGAAATATGAATGAAATTTATAATTTAAATATATTACCGTCTATGGGGTACGTTTACTACCGTTCACCTAAAAAAATAATTTTGCATTAAAGATTTATGCAAATTTGTAATTTTTTTATAATTTTACGTGGTTTTATAATTAAGATTATAAGTAAAAGATAATAATAAGTTATTATATAATTATAAGAATTTCGAATTTTTACTACATATAAGTTTCTGTTTTTGTTAAAATAATGTTTTATAATGAGTAAAATAATTATATATTTTTTAGAATTTTATATTACACATTATACAATTTGATGCTTAGAAACTATGAAATGATAAAATATCATTTCCATGGAAACAAGCAAATTGATGTTATAAATCCTCCCTCTTTCAAATTTCATAATATACTTTCTTTTAACAATGTGATAATTGATAACATGAATAATGAAGAGTCGTTAATTTACTGGTTAGAAAATTGGAGTACAATTGTAACAGACATTAATATTTCTAAGATCAATAACTTTTTATCCAATCAAGACATAAATGATGACATCAAATTCCAATCTATGACGATTGACAAAACAAACATTTACATTTTAGCATGTTATTTTCCGTATTCATGCTCTGTATTTACACTCTACGTTTTGGAAAAGAAATATGCAAGTCTCAAGAGCGTCTCAAATGCATACAAATATGTTAAAAAGATACCAATAAGCTTAGATGAAAATGTGTTTTATAAAAAAATTTACGCTTTTGATAAATATTCACAATCATATCCTCCAATGAGATGTCTGACACCTGACGAAAAAGTTTATAATTTTGAGAATGTGACTGCAACGGCAAACAGCATCATTGTAAATTTACAGGAGTCGGTTGTAAAGAGTGGATGCAAAAAATATAATTTACCAACCACTATATATACTATCACAATAAGCCATTGTGTAGACGACAATCTCAACAAGCCTAAAGAATTCAATGTGAAGACAGCCGAGAGATATTACGAGATTCAGAACTTAACACCATTTACAGAGTACAAGTTGACATTTACTTTAAGCAATTTTTACTTTGATCAATTATCAATAAATCCATTGGATTCGAACGTAATACGAATAAAAACTAATTCGGGCAAGCTTAATGTACCAGAAAACGTAAGTGTTTTAGCTTTGACGCCTACTATAGCACTAGTTTATTGGATGCCACCCAAGAAATTGAACTGCGCAGTTGTGACCTACGAAGTGCATTGGAAGTTAGTGAACGACACGCAACAAGAGAATAAACAATTTATTAATGTGCCGAAACGTGTGGCAGATGGCAGATTTTTCACAAAGATTAACTTGTCGCTACCAGTACAAGATTACTTGATATACGTGCGTGTATATCCAATTAATTTCAGCGATTTCTACAACGAGAGTTTAAGCAAGATCGATCACATATACTCAGAACCAAACAATATTACTTTGAGCGAAGTCAACACAAATAGCATGGACATTTCATGGATCTCAAACGTTAATCTTACGGTCTTTCCTACACTAGAGTACAAAGATATTGCAGCAGAAAAATGGCAAACAACGAAGTATATTAAAACGAATGATAACAAAGAAAGAAATATTAACAAAGAAATAATATATCATATCGAAAATTTACAGTCGGAAACTTTATACAAGTTTCGCTTGATATTGATATATCCCGAATATGAGGAAACTTTTACATGGCCGGCTGATGAAAGATTTATTTTTTCAACACTTGGTAAGCAAATGAATATACCGACACAGCACAATAAGGTTGCAGATATAGTGAAGAATAATTTCATTAAAACATTGCAATATTGCAAATTGATTGCAAAATTCTGCAGAGTCATTGTTATAAGATTGTGATGAAGTTAATATGTCCACTTTTTACAAAAAAGTATTGTAGCAACATTGCATAATATATTTGAAAGAATCTAATGTTATTGGAATCATCTAACAATATTACGTATAAAATATTTTTATTTCTGACAGACGAATATCTTGGAAACTTTATAATTAAATTAAAAAGCTTGATATATTAGAAACTTAATATAAATAAAAGCTTTATATAAATAAAAGTTTGCATTGGCTTCATATCTATGATGCAATATTTGCAATAATTAACGAGAAATAAATTAAAGAAAATCGGCCGTGAAGAAAATCTGCGCGAATAGAAGCGCGCGGCGGCGAAGGCGGTCACACTGTAACATAATGCCGGCGCGCGTTGAAGCGGTGATTGGGGAGAGGAGGAGCGATATGTGTGTAGATGCACGGCGAAGGCCTTCGCCGCCGAGCGCTTTTATTCACGAAGATTGGCCGATTTTCTTTAATTTATTTCTTGTTAATTATTGCGAATATTGCATAACTGTACAAAACTTTTCTTCTAATTTTGAGCTAATCTACCTTAACTTTTTAAAGTTATGCTCACTTTCATGACACCCTGTACACAAATATAAAAAAATATATTATTACATTACTTTTATAGATTAATTGAAGAGTGTTCTAGTTTTACAATGTTTTCAAAATATAAATATCATACCGCTAATTTACCTTTAATTAACCTTTAATTAACCTTTAATACCTTTAATTCATATTAATTTATTTCTACAGTGTTGCATTGCAATTTGCAATAATGCAACATTGTTGCAAAGTAGTTGTAATATTTTGTGCTACATAAATATTATAATATAATGTGCTGATTTTTAAAAATATGAATAGCCCTAAAATTAAAAAAAATTAAATTTTTGAAATTAAATTATAAGTAGAAATATGTTTTGAAATTAAACACATACACGAAGATATTAAAATTATTTTTGCTTAATATAGGTGACATTGATATGAATTCGAGCATTCATGGTAAATATTACCTACCATTGATATTAAGTTTTATTGTTATAGTTATTATAACCTACATCTGCTACATTTATTATTGTAAGTATATTGATATTTGTATATTTGATATAGGTATATCGACTTGAATTGTAGATTATACATATATATCTGATATAATATCTAAAAATTTACTGAAAATAGTAATTTACTTATATAAAACTAAATTTAAAATAATAAATTTACTAAAAAACAATAAATTTTATAATACATAATTACATAATTAAGTCGAAATTTTATAACAGTGTATCGTCAACGCAGAGGTAATAATGAACAATTTTTGTCTTCAACAATGACTGATATAGAATTGGAGAGTCTACAGGAGTGGCAAGTAGCTTGCCAAAACACTCAATTCAATACGATTTACAGTCCTATGTTACATTATAATCCGGATGAATGTGCGATAACTAAAATAGCACATAAACAAATTAGATTTACAAAACATATTGGTAGCGGCGCATTCGGAATGGTAAAAATTAATTTTTTCAAGCAATGTTTCAAATTAATTTTTGGATCAACAAAACAGATATGTATTTTTTAATAAAAATATAAGTTACATAAATTTTCATAATAGATTATAAGTAATATAAAATTTGGATGAGACAACATTCACTTTATTATATATTTTCCGTTAAATTATTCAATATAAAGTAAAATATAATATTACGTGACATTAAACTATACATTTTCTAGTGAAGTACGCATGTAAATTTATGTGAAATATTTCGCAGGTGTATCAAGGAAATGTGAAAAACTTAGAAAGTTCGAGCACAGAGATATCCGTTGCAATAAAGACGCTTCGGAAAAATGCTTCTTCCCAAGAGAAAAATAAATTGTTAAAGGAAGCCGAGCTTATGAATCGTTTTAGACACAAACATATATTAAGATTGTTGGGCGTTTGTTTAGATGGGGATCTTCCGTTATTAGTGTTGGAATTGATGGAAATTGGAGATCTATTAAAATATTTGAGAGATTGTCGAAATTTGGAAGCGTCAGATTCACACGCTTTGCGTTTGCAGGATTTATTTGCCATGTGCGAAGATGTTGCGCGAGGCTGTTGCTACTTGGAAGAATTGCGTTTCGTACATAGAGATCTAGCGTGTCGCAATTGTTTAGTATCTTCAAGAAATCGCGAGAATCGTGTCATTAAAATTGGAGATTTTGGACTAGCTAGAGATATCTATATGGATGATTATTATCGCGTGGTAAATACAATTATTAAAAAAAGTTAATGATTAAAAAATGAATTCTTTTTAAAATACTTTTTATTTTTTTGTCATAATAGTATCGTGCATTGTTTCTTCAAGTAATATAGAATATAAATAGTTTTTATTTATATATAGCAAGAGATAACGTTTTTCTGTTGGCACATATTGTAAAAATGAACAACTTGAACCAGAAAATTAAATTTTTGTTAAAATCATGTTTTAGAAAGGAGAAGGTTTGCTTCCTGTTCGCTGGATGGCACCCGAATCTTTAATGACCGGAATATTTATTTCTCAAAGCGATGTTTGGTCATTTGGTGTTTTAATGTGGGAAATTACTTCGTTGGGTGAACAACCTTATGCTGCCAAGACTAATGAAGAAGTGATAAATTATGTACGTGCTGGAAGCAGATTGTCGATGCCTCTTAACTGTCCGTCAGCATTGTACCAGTTGATGCTACGTTGCTGGAGTGCAGCGAATGCCAGACCAAATTTCGAATTTTGTCTGAAAAATATTATAGCATTAAGAAAGAACATAAAAGATGCCTTACTGAGTCCAGTCGATATTCTTTAGCCGATATAATTAAATTAATGTTTATCTTCTTTTCCAAATGATTCAATAAATCTTAATGTAGAAAAAATATTTCTAGAATATCTTTGAATTGTTTCTGTTATTTTCAGGTTTAATCTTAATATTAGATTTATCAATGAAGATAAAAGAAATGTTTTAATCTTACTTTTCATAAAATCTTGATTAAGAAAAAATATCATATCCGTTTTCATGATTGTACAATGTAATATAATGACATTTAATTTGTGTTTTTGAGTAATCAGTGCGAAACCCAATGATTGCGATTATATATATATATATATATATATATATATATATATATATATATGTGTATATGTATAAACAATATTTTTTTCAACATGGAAATATAATTAATTTTTGATATCATGTTTGATATCATGATCGATAATTATAAACTGATTGTAAAATTTATGAGCGAAAGAGGAAACACGAATAAAATCCTTTATAATTGGTTGTGAATATTTAATATAATAAACAAAAAATTTCTAGTTAATTATATTTCCATGTTGAAAAAAATATTGTTTATACATATATATATATATATATATATATATATATATATATATAATCGCAATCATTAGGTTTCGCACCGATTACTCAAAAACACAAATTAAATGTCATTATATTACGTTGTACAATCATGAAAACGGATATGATATTTTTTCTTAATCAAGATTTTATGAAAAGTAAGATTAAAACATTTCTTTTATCTTCATTGATAAATCTAGTTTTGGTCGATTATATTATTTCCAACGATCCTTTAATTAATTGATTAGCGATATTAAGATAATTTATGTTAAATATAATAAAATTTATGTTAAATATAATAATATAATTATTTTTGAATTTTTAAATTTATAACAGTTATCATGTATAAATTTTTGCATCATTCGGGATAAGTATATACATATATTTTATCTTTATATTTAATGACTTACTATATTCAAATTATATTGATGATTACAAAAGTATGCAGTTGTAAAAATGAACATTTGTTGTTCTATCTCCACTAACTATCTAATAAAGCTAATAATGTATAATATTTACACACAAGTACGGTCTATTATTTCGAAAAAATTCTTGTACATATATATCTTTGTTGGTGAATAAAAAGTTTTTATAAATTAAAAAAACCATAGATACAATAATCAGCCTAATACGAGCTAAACTGCGGATGATAAGTCAGTTAAAAAAACAAAAAAGTAGAAAAATGTCGATAAGTCGCATTTATTAAGAGAACGACTAAAAGTGAGACGTTTAGATGCTTACTTGCATCTCTTCAGTCACGAAGTGTTAAAATTCAAAATATAGTGATTGCATCTCGAATATAGGAAGTCAACGTGTGCTGTGTGACAGCTTAGTTTCTGATAAAAATTACATACATAAAATTACACACACAAAATATAAAAGAATGAATAAAGCAAAAAATGCGCAAAAAGTAAGGAACCGTTACAATTAAAATAAATCATTAGTAAAAAATCTTACCAAATCTCCTAAAATTTGAAACCTCCACATAGACTCGAGTCTTAGTATTACAATTAAAAATCATTGTTGCGACAACGGCAGACAGTAAGACAATGAGAAGATACGTTATTCTCACCGCAATATAAATAGACCAAGAACAACAAGTACAATGTGAGACAAACAAACCATCATAAGGAATCCAATAACGGAAAATACATATTATTTAAAGCTGATAAATCCTCAATTTTATTTAATCCATTTTTTTGTTTTTTGATAAAAATAATTTCCGAGATCTTTTAAAGTAATGGGGCTCATAGTCAAGTATTTTAATTTCGTCCCATGCTATGGAATGATTTTCATTAATAATGTGGTCAGTGATGACCGATAGTTTGAAAGGCTGTCTAACATTATTCTTATGTTCCCTTAATCTAGTTTCAAGATGTCTCTTTGTCTGTCCCACATAAGAAGCGTCACAGTCCTTACAATTAATTTTATAAACGACATTATTTTCTTTTAATTTTGAAGTACCTTGTGTACCTTGATGAAACGATTCAAGCGGTTGAAACATTTGAAACCTGTAGAATATTCCGTGTTGTTAAAAACTTTACAAACACTTTCAGATAAACCTTTTATATAAGGAACAGCTATGTATTTTTTATCCTTTGAATCAACATCAATTGAACTGTTATTCGTATTATGATTTTTTGATTTAGTGAAAAGAAGTTTTTTTATTCTAACGGACACGTATTTGAAAATGAACGGAAGAGGGTAGCTATTATTTAATAAGATGTTAATGCTAAGATTGATGTTCTTCCGATGGAAGGTTGTGATAACAGAATTGATTTATCAATTAAGTCATATATCGTACTAATTTTGTGACAAGTAGGATGATTAGAAAAAAAGAAGAGATATCTGCCTGAATAAGTATCCTTATAAAACCAATTTAAAATTAGCTTATTATTATTAATATAAATTTTGAAATCTAAAAAATTAATGCTTCTATTCTGTTCCGGTTCAACCATGAATCTCAATCTATTATAGAAGGAATTGAAAATTTCAACCACATTCTGTAATGCATCTCTATCCAACGCTATCAAAATATCATCAACATAGCGGTAATAAAATTTGATTTTTTTGCCGATTTTAAATAAGGCTTTATTTTCAATGTCCTGTAAGACTAAATCTGCCACTATCGGTGATAATGAGGAGTTCCAAACGTTTGCCTGTACACCCACCTTTCTATCAAAGTTAAAAAAGGTGGAGTCGAGGATAAATTTGATTATTCTTAAAAATTCTTTTTTCGGTAAATTAGTGAATTTTTCTGTATATGACCATCTGTTTGAGATGGCACTAATTGCTAATTCAGTTGGAACATTAGTAAACAAGGACACCACATCCCATGACACCAAAATATGTCCTCTATTATGGTATTCGATAAAATGTTATAGAGCTGGTAACTATTTTTTACAGAACTTCTGGCAGTTGAAAGACTGCTTAAAAGAATTTTTTGGACAAATTTTGCTATGTTGTACAACGGGCTGTTAATAGACGAAACAATGATGCGAAGAGGAAAATTTTGCTTGTGGATTTTCGGTAAACCGTAAATTTTTGGCAATAAGCCATCACAGATCTCAGTATATAATATTGTTGTTTGGATATATAATCATTGTTTAGCCACATTTTTACAATATTATTAAGTTCCAGCTCTATTTTTTTACAAGGATTTTTTAAAATCTCTATGTATGTACTAACATCGCTTAGCATATTATTGATTAAGTCAACATACTTATTTTTGTTAAGAGCCACAGTAATGTTTCCTTTATCTGCTCTAGAGAAAATTATTTCAGGGTGTTTCTTTTTGTATTTCTTGCTTTTTACAGACAGATCAATGAATCTTTTATCATTGTTAGAAATTAAGTGCTTTTTCTCATTAAATTTTTGTAATTGTGGAATAATCAAATTACGAATTTTAAGTCTATCATGTTCCTTGCATTTTCTTAAGTTACTTTCTATGTCTTTTATGAATTCTGTAATTAGTTTTTATAAATTTATAAAATGTTTGAAAATACAGCTATTATTATGCACAAATTTAGAAAGAGACCGTTATATTAATGCTTAAATTATTAAAAATGTTCTTATACAGAATCTTTTTAATAATATAAAAATTTTAAAAATAACAATGTATATTATTTAATATATGAATGGACTTTAATATATGAATGGAAATAAGTCACCAAAGGAGAACAAAGCATCACAGAATTATTTTCAATTATATTTCACGTAAATAAATATTTATCACATTTTTTTGGAAATAAAGTAATTGATATATAGCGAGAGAAAGATGGAATTTAATTGAATGCACTAATGCACACTAAGGCATAATAAAGACTGTCGTATCAAGAGACACGGTAGTGTCTTGAAGTCGAGGCATCATCACTCAGGCGCAAGACACACCGTGTATCTTTACGCGAATAAGATGCGAGTAATGCATATTATCGGTTCTCAATAACCGTTGAATCAATCAAATTCTTATTAGGTTCAATCAATTGCTTGGGTTTGATTTATATAAGGAAAGTGTCTTTATTTTTGCTCTATATGCTCTATAAGAAATATAACGATGCAAAGTCTCAATGTGAAACTTTTTAATAATTAAGATACGTCACCGTCGCCGTCATGGCTACATTTTTCACATATTTTTCTTGTACGACATATTTTTCTTGTTCGCACATTTGACGAAAGAGGCACTGTGTTCTCGTGACGATGAGAGATGTATAATTTTTTATTATGCGAGAAATTACCGACTGTAATTGGAATGAATTGATCGGTACATAGTATACTTTCCGATTCATGCATGATGCGCATGAAGTGACAGAAAATGTATAGTTCATGTCACGCATATTATACATTTTCTGTCACTTTATGCGCATCATGTATGAATCGGAAAGCACCCATAGATGTCAATTATTTGAATCAACCATGCATATCGAATGTAACACTTATCCAAATAATTGCTACCTATGTATCGATTAATTTATTGCAATTGCAATCACCCAGGTAGCAAGCACACGTCATTTTGACGTTTCAAATTGGTCATTCACTGACGTCACGAATTGACGTTTTTATGATGTAAAAGTGACGGTCTAATGTCCCAGATTCTTGATGTCATGACATGTACCGCATTTTGATGTCTTTCTCTTAGCATAATAATATATTTAATAATGTTGTCGAATAAAGCACTCTTTAAAAGTGAATCAGTGTATTATCACTGAAAAACAGTAAACAATCACTGATTACAGTACTTATAAGTACAGCGCTGTAAATCAGTGATATTTTATTGAAAGAATCAATTAATAATTTTGACTATTTCAGTAATATCTCAGTTATATTTCTTTCGTTATTGCCAGTAATACAATTCATCTCTCTATTTCATAAATATAATATAAATATAATAAATATAAAAATAAATATATATATATATATATATATATATATATATATAAAAAAGTCTGATCGCGAAATAAGTCATGTTATATAAAAAATTTTAAAAGATTTTTTTTATGGGATCGATGTACTAACTAATAACATTCATAATAAAATAATCGTCACTTTATGATTGAAAAATGACGTCAAAATAATGTTATATCAAGACGTCAATATAAAGTGACGTGAGTATCATGTAACAATAATCAGTCATTTTGATGACATTATGACCAAAAATGATTAGTTTGGAACGTCAAAATGACGTGTGTTTGCTACCTGGGCAGTAATCCCTCGCATAAAAAAATTGGTACACGAAATAAAACTCATCCTATATGCTGTCTCCTGCACTATCACACTATCTAGTAACATTAATAACAGATTTTTAAAGTTATTTAGAGACGATTTTTCTTCATTGAAAATGTCGAAGGTTTGCAACTAAACCCAAAATTAAAATTTTATTAAAATGAACTTCACCTGGAATTAATTGAAGAATGTAGTTTTGTTAATATTTTAACTTTACGAAGTTTTGCAAAAAGTATGTTAAGTAGAGAAGATCGTCATATTTTAATGAAATGACGGGGCGGATTCTTTGCTTATTTATTTGAATATTTAACATATCTTCAAAAATTACTTTTTTAAAAAGTATAAAAAAGTTAATCATGTGTCAGTATTAAATTGTAAAAATTTTTATATTATTGTAAAAAATTGTTTTATGCAAAAGACATAATATTATTTAAACTACAAAAATGTTACATTAAACAAAGTTAATGTGCAAAATAGTTATTTCTTAATTGTCTACAAAAATTAGTGATATCCTAAAAAAATTACCTTTTCAAAAAAAGGTAAAAAAAAGAAGTCGAGTCATCTCAGTAGTAAAACATTATTGTATAAAACTATTTTACAAAAAATTATTTTAATAAAAAATTGCTGTATTAAAAAAAATTGTGTAAAATAGTTGTCATAATTATCTACTAAATAAATTTGGCAGCGTGGAGTTTTTTAATAATTAAAATTTTTTAAGTTACGAGCTACATGAATCAACTGTTCATCGTTAAAGAAATCAGGATTCTGACTTTTACGACAAAGATGTAATAACTTTCGACGAAAATATAAACATAATTTTTCTTCATCTAATTATTTATCAGCAGTCAATCACATCTAATACACACACACACACATACACACACTATAGGATTATTCAATGCAAATAATGATAATAATACTCGTGCAATTAATTATATTACTTATTTTATATATTACTTATTATATTACTTATTTAGTTTGTATGTGCTGCTGTAAATTTGTACTTATTTATACTAGTGCAAAAATGGCGTTACGCATCTCTTGATTCAAACTGTATTATGTGAATGTACAGAAAACGCATAAACCATTTTTTTAAATTCATTTTTACTTTTTTTTATAATCAGAATATCTTATTATGTAGTAAACGTGTCCTTAGGCCAAAGAGAGGTACTCAGAAATAAATTAATATAAAAAGTTTAATAATATAAGTTTAAAAATATAAAATCCAAACAATTATATATACATATAATTATTTTTATTAATAGAACTATTTTTGTTTTATAATCTTACATATATAACCTTTACATATATAACCTTTTTGTCAAACAATTTTTAAAGACTTTAATTCTTTTCTGTATAACATCAAGTATTTCCGTAGAGAAAAATAAATTACAACGGAATGCAGCTAATAAGACATCATGGTCAGAGACCAGATCTTGTTGTCGTTTTTTCCACTCCAAGTGCATGCTAGCGGCCGAACGCCGCGAAAAGTAGTACCATCTATGTCGGTTTAATGATGGTAGCAAAGAGGACATCGTAGCGTAGAAAAAATAATTTATATTAATAGAATATAGAATATATGTTCATTTAATATTATACATAACATATAAAATAATATAATAAAATAATATATATATATAATATATATATATATAATAATATAATATATATATATATATATATATATATATATATAATATAAAGTATATAAAATAATATAATAAATTATTATATTTTTCTTTTTCTACACGACGATGCCCTCTTTGCTACCATCACTAGACCGGCATAAACCGTATTTGTTGCTGCTTGTACCTATATACCTCTTTGTCAAACAATTTTTAAAGATTTTAATTCTTTTTGAAATAACGCCAAATATTTCCGTAGAGAGAAATAAATTGCAACGGAATGCAGCTAATAAGACGTCATAACCAGAATCCGGATCTTAGTGTCGTTTTTCCCACTCCAAGTACATTCTAGCGGCTGAACCCCGCGAAAAACAGTACCGTCTATGCCAATCTAGTGATGGTAGCACAGAGAGTACCGTCGCATAGAAAAAAAAACATTTATATATATATATATATATATATATATATATATATTAACATAAATATATGTTTATTTAATAATATTCATAATATATAAAATAATATAACAAAATAATACATATATTAAATAAAGTATAAAATAATATAATAAATTATTATATTTTCTTTTTTTACGCGACGGTGCCCTCTTTGCTATCATCACTAGACCGGCATAGACTATACTGCATTCGCGAAGCACTGTCGCTAGCATGTCCTTGGAGAGAGGAAAACGACATCAAGATCCGGTCTTTCAGTCATGGCAACACATGATCAGATTGATTATTCGAAGTCAGTTACTACTGTGATCGCTAGCCAAAACACGCTATCGCGTTACTTATCGTTTAATAACGCTACCGCGTTACTTATCGTTTGATTCAAACTGCATTATAATAAATAAATTGAATATAATAACAAATTATGTACAAAGAATGGATTTATATACCGATTTTTGCTCACCAATAATGGATTTTGAAAAGCATACATAGTAATACAATTGTACGTAGTAACACAAACGTACGAACGAATTGTTATAATTACATATTTAATAAAAGATATAGAAAATATTGAAGTCAATTCGATTACATGTTACGTGTGCTTGAATATAGCTCAAAATGTTACAAGATCTATAATTCTATATCTTCTTTGAGCGTTTGTAATTTGATTGTGATTATCTTTTTATCGACTGTTTTTCTATTATAATATTAATGAAAAAGGAAAACTAATAATAATTATATTTTTGTATTCGTGATACAATCCAATGAATATGAACCATTTTGCATTGTCATTTGTTCTCTTAAAAAAAGGAATAGAAATTATTTACTTACTAGAAATTCTCTAATTTAATCTTAAGATATATACTGTGATCGTGACGTAAAAAGAAATCTAAAAACATAACATTAGAAGATAATAACTTGCAATTCGTTAAAACTGAGTTTTAAGAAATCTATCGAGAATATATGTATATATGTGAATTAATATCAATTCGATCAACACATCAGAATTAGTGAGAAAACAAGTAATTGAAGATTGGAAATCGATTTATTGCAAACATTTACGAAAAATGCAAATTATGTTTGAAAAAATTTTATGTGTATTATTGAAGAGTTTAGTACTGACAAAGGCAACTGTCACGTTTATGCCGACAGATTATAACACTTCAAACAACCCTCAGAAAGAAAATGTTGATATGTGTCCGTATTTAAATATCACGCAGGTAAGAAATATTTTTCGCTTGATTAAGAAACATTTGAATGCTATTGCAGTTAGTAGTATAACTAAAAATGAATGATAGTAAATTACATATTCTATATAATTAGACAAGATAAAATAAAACAATTTAATATAAAAGAAAAAAGTATGTACGTTGTTGTAAAAAAAAGATGGATAAAGTTTCGAAATTTTGTTTACAAATGGATGTTATATAGTATATTAAATTTAATTAAAACGGTATTTTAAAATTTGAGTTTATTATTCTCTCTCTCTCTTTATATACAGGGTGGGGCATTTATCTTGAGACAAGATAATATCTCGATTGGAGTCGATTATTTTGAAAAAAGTTTTAGACAAAAGTTGTATGGTTTCAAGGGGGACATAAGATGGTGTTAATAGTTTGATCTTGAAGAGCTACCTGAAGGACACGCGAAGGTCAGCTCCAACTTTTTAAATGGGACACCCTATATGCTTTTGCATATTCTTGTAGCTCATCTCAAGAGCTTTCCAAAACACTATAATTAAGTTAGTTTTCATTAAGTACTTTCCAAGTTATGAGGTTTGAAATCGTTTTTTAATTTTACATAAACCGTAAAATATCTTGTAAAATATTCATTTTTCGATTATTTTACCTTAATACTTTTATGTACAAAATAATGAGAGGAATCAATTGGTGTAAAGAAAAGACATAGTTATTTTTAAGAAAAAATATGTAATTGTTAATTGCAAATTACATTTTTTTTTTCGAAACAACTATGAGTTTTCTTTACACCAATTGATTTTTCTCATTATTTTGTACATAAAAGTATTAAGGTAAAATAATCGAAAAATGAATATTTTACAAGAGATTTTACGGTTTATGTAAAATTAAAAAATGATTTCAAGCCTCATAACTTGGAAAGTACTTAATGAAAACTAACTTAATTATAGTGTTTTGGAAAGCTCTTGAGATGAGCTACAAGAATATGCAAAAGCATATAGGGTGTCCCGTTTAAAAAGTTGAAGCTGACCTTCGCGTGTCCTTCAGGTAGCTCTTCAAGATCAAACTAATGACACCATTTTATGTCCCCCTTGAAACCATACAACTTTTGTCTAAAACTTTTTTCAAAATAATCGACTCCAATCGAGATATTATCTTGTCTCAAGATAAATGCCCCACCCTGTATATACACGGTGGGCCATTTTAATCGATGCACTCGAATATCTCGAAAACAGCACTCTTCAGAAAGAAATGTTTCAAACAAAAATTGTAGGGTGTGAAGGGGGACATAAGATGGTAGCATTGGTTTGACCTTGGAAAGTCATTTGAAGGTCACATAAAAGTCACCTTCAATTTCTTAAATTGAACCCACTATTTTTCATTACATATTCTTGTAGCTTATCTCGAGAGCTTTTCAAAACACTACAGACAAATGTTTTTTCATTAAGTACTTTTTGAGTTATAAGGCTTCAAAGTTTGCAGTACTTCGATATAAAATGCAAAATATCTCGTAAAATATTTAGTTTTCGGTAGTCTTACCCTAATACTTTTATGCACAGGATAATGAGACAAAACTATTGGTGCAAAGAAAACGCATGATTGTTTATAACAAAAAGTGCATTGCAAATTACACATTTTTTCGAGATAAGCTACAAGAATATGTAATGAAAAATAGTGGGTCATGTAATGAAAAATAGTCAATTTAAGAAATTGAAGGTGACTTTTATGTGACCTTCAAATAACTTTCCAAGGTCAAACCAATGCTACCATCTTATGTCCCCCTTCACACCCTACAATTTTTGTTTGAAACATTTCTTTCTGAAGAGTGCTGTTTTCGAGATATTCGAGTGCATCGATTAAAATGGCCCACCGTGTATATATATATATATATATATATATATATATATATATATATACAGGGTGTTTCTGGATTAAAAGGCCAAATTTAAAATATAAATTTGGGATCTCAAAACAAACAAATATTTCTTCTGGAAGTTTGCTCGCAAATGCTTCGTTCAAGAGATATCGACTTGTTAAGTTACAGAACCATAGAAATAAATAATATCGAAATAATTTAGGTTTATCTTTTTTGTTGCTTTTTTATTGCTTTATAGTAATCAAAATTTTAATTATTAAATATTTTGTTCAAAATAATAGCCTCCAGCTTGGAGACAAGTATTGCACCTATCGACATATTGTATTACTTTACTTCACGAAAGTATTCAATAAACTAACAATTATTTGGTACACTGCGCGAAATCGATTCTGTTTCTAAAAAACAGAAGTCTATGAATGACCTTCAATCTTCAAAACAAAGACAAAACAGAAATATTTCGGTATTATTCATTCTTATGGTTCTGTAACTTAACAAGTCGATATCTCTTGAACGAAGCGTTTGCGAGCAAACTTCCAGAGGAAATTTTTGCTTGTTTTGAGGTCTTAAATTTATATTTTAAATTTGACCTGGGAACACCCTGTATATCACGCGACGCGGTAGCGACGCGACGCCAAGTACATAAAAAACAAGTCCAAGCATTGAGTTCCAAGCATTGAGTTGAGAGTCACTGCTCTTGACGCGGTGCTACCAAGTACCTTATCCAGATTTTCGCGTCAAGTAAACTTTCGGTTAAGATATTTAATAAACTAAAGCCGTAATCAAAAATCTAACGACACTTTTATTATAAAATGTGAATATATGCTTTCGAGTGCGACCTGTTTGAACAAAATCGGTGCAGTCAATCCTGAGAAATGATAATCGAATATCAGAATTGTGACATTTTTCGTTTTCCTTCATTTCCTTCATTTTCTTCATTCCCAGTATCTCACGTACATATGCTCGCACGCACACACGCAAAGCGAATTTGTCCCTCAAGCGGCATTCACATCGCTGCGTATACGATTATTGCTTCGATATGTACAATGCTTTAAATGAGAAAATCATATGTGTGCATGTGCGCACATACGTGTACGATATGTATATGTATGTGTACATACATATGAAAGATAAATTTATTAAAGTATAGTGCGGAATAGTGTAATATGTACGTACGTATGAAAGATAAATTTATTAAAGTATAGTGCGGAATAGTGTAACAAGGAATAGAAGTGACACGTTACTTGTTTAAAAAGACAGAAGAGAAGTGACATATTAATAAAAGTTATTATCAAGTGACGCAATAGTGTCGCGACGCCGAGTGCATTGATTAGTAAAAAAAAAACCCAGATTTGTGACACTTAACGACCACCAAGTGGACTGTGATTGTAAAATTTTTCTCATTTTTAGATTAGACATAATATATTTTGACATATTATATTAATAAAGAGAATAGACAGTTATCATTTTGTGGAATATATTTGTATAATTTATAATTATATATATATATATATATATGTGTGTGTGTGTGTGTGTGTGTGTGTGTGTGTGTGTGTGTGTGTGTGTGTGTGTGTGTATGTGTGTGTAGAAATTTACATATTTGACTGCGCAACCATAATTATAGTTACATAGACATTTGTTACATTTGCCTGCGTAGACACAAATATAAATACGCAGAATATTCATTACATGTATAATGATAATTATATGTATATATGTGCGCCAAGTTTTTGTAAGTTGTTTTAGTCTTAATTTTTTTAGTTCCAAATTTACTTGGAACTTATTTTGAAATTCATTTTTATTTTGTCGAGAATCTAATATATAAATGCAAGATTGAATTTGTGACAAATATTTCAAATTACAAATCCCTATCAATTGCTTCAATGTACTTGGCTAATTAATCATTGATTTCATATTTAGTTTTGATTTTTTTTAGGAAAATTATATATATTTTTTGAGGGAAAATTTTCATAAATTATTTATTATAAGGGTATTTTTTTATTAAACGTTTTGTTGCAAGGTGGAATATTTTTTATGTACTTGGCGTATTTTTTTTACCTTTGTAAGGTTTTTTTGGAAGGATATTTAAGAACTGTAAAGAAACAATATTTTTAACCTTCTTATGCTTCAAGTACAAACATTAATAGAACTTTAGTAATATTGGCAAATTTTTGAAAAAAATTTAAGTTACGTAAAATTGAGAAGAGTTAACTAATTTATCATGAGAAAGAATCAAATTGTTAGACAAAATTGTTTTAATAATTGCAAAGAACTACACTTTCGCTTCTACTACTTGATAAAAGCTGTTATGATTCGTCATTGACTCTTGTTAACCTATATTGATTGATTTTCTTTTTGATATGAGTTATGTTTGATATACAAGATGTTTAAAAAAATAAAAATAAAAAATAGAGTTTACAATATGAATAAAACTACATCGCATTGAATATATATCATTTAGGAATGGTTTATATCAAACCTGTATTATTATACCTATATTATTATACAAAAAACGAATGGTAATTTTTCGTTTAATTTTATAATTTATATAATTTATCATTAAAAGCACCAGAAACAACCGCTTCAACGATATTTATTTTATAATTCTTTTCGTATGTTACACTTTATGAAGAATATTTCAATGTTCGAGAAAAATTATCATCGTATATTAAATTTCAAATCTGACCGATGTCATTCTGATAGTACTGTGAGAAATGAGCGAGAAGTCGATGAAGTTACGCTTGCAAATATTTCTATCATCTCAGAATCTATCGGTAAGTTACAAAAAATGCATCAAACATTAATAACATAATCTATGACGAAAAAGTGTAAATACAATTTAAGTTTAAGAGAGAGTGGAAATAAATTTAAAAATACCTTTCATCAGTGAAAAAAAATATAAATTCTATTTTGTCGAAAAAAGAAATAAAAAAACATAATATAAACATAACATTGTACATAAAAATTGTCATGATTTAAGGTAAAGTCACTTGGATTAATTTGCTACTTGATTATAAAACAATCACAAATATTATATTCCTGATTTCTTACATTGTAGAAATTTTTCGAAAAGTACTTGTCATTTTATTAAAAGTTATTTATTCGTTTTTGCTATGTATTAACAATTACTTTTCTAAGTCTTAAATGACGCAAAAATTTTTTATATCATTTCATTTTTTAAAGATCAATACTGTGCTAATTTTCATATTTTGTAATTTAGATTTATTTTTCCTCTTTCCTTTATTTTCATATTAAATTGTTCTTTCTGATTTACTGAGATATCCACATAATTATTAATATAATTATAATATGTACAATCTATTCTAGAAAACAATTTGAACAAGCCAACATCTCTCAGAGCATTTGTACAATACGACAGTCAATTCACAGAAAAAGTAAACGACATTTTTGTGACATTGAGGTAAAGAATCTAAATTACCAGTTTGTATTCTTTCATTTTTCTCTTTTTTCTTAAATTCAACGACATAAATATATCAAAATGTTAATTCTGTTATAATTTTACTAAATATAAAAAGACTGAAATATTATTCTTTTATAGATGGAACCAACCTAACTTTTCCGATGAAATAATACAAGGGTACACGGTGCAGTGTTTTTTCATCGAGGATTTAAAAGAGATTCAAATCTGTGAGGATAAAAATATTACCACTACAGAATTGGAGCACACGGTTCACAATCTGATCTTTAACACGACATATTATTTTCGAGTACGTGCGCATACTAAAATTGTTGCTGGACCTTACACGGATTTAATTAATGTGTCGACTACACATGAAAATCCAATACCTAAATTATTACTCATAACGTCTGGAGATATCCAAATATGGGACGTGGATTTAAACATCATTACTAATTTAGTAATGACGTCACAGTACGTATACTGATAAAAAAAATAGTTAGAATTATGAAATTATTTTTGACACTATAAAGTTAAACTTATTATTACTACGCACAAGTTTATTATCAACATTATAGTAGTAATAATTATAAAATTAGAAATTTCAACTATAATTTTTTTAATATACTATTATAGTTGGCTTCTTTTTTTCAGATCAGTAAGAAAAGCCGTTTATTCGATACAAGAACATAGAATTTATTGGAGTAACATGGAAGGAGACCTAATGACATTGAAGATTAATGAAAATAATATCACAAAACTAGCTAGCTTTGATGATGATATACTCGTACATGATCTCTGCATTGACTGGGTAGCAAGAAATCTATATTTTACATATGAAGAGTATGATACATCAGACTACTATTACATTGTAAAGTTCGACTTAACAATGTGGGAAAATGGCATAATTAAATTTGATCAGATTTTCAAATCAAGAATTCCTATTAACTATTTAAAAGTATCACCGTCTATGGGGTACGTTTACTAAAGTTCATCATATTTTCAAAAAATAATTTTCCATTAAAGATTTATGCAAATTTGTAATTTTTCTATAATTTTACGTAGTTTTATAATTAAGATCATAAGTAAAAAGACATAATAAGTTATTATATAATTATAAGAATTTCGAATTTTTACCACATATAAATTTCTGTTTTTGTTAAAATAATGTTTTATAAGAGTGAGTAAAATAATTATATCTTTTTTAGAATTTTATATCACATATCATACAATTGGATGAGTGGAAGACAAGTAATGATGAAATATCATCTCGATGGAAAAAACGAGCAAATTGTTAAGAAAAATGCTTCCCTGTTTTATTATATTATATATCCTTTTACTAATATGATAATTGATAACATGAATAATGGAGAGTCGTTAATTTACTGGTTAAATGATTGGAGTATAAATGTAACAGACATTAATATTTCTAAGTTCAATCAGATTTTACACAAGGAAGACATAAGTGAAGTCATAAGTGATAACATCACATTCCAATATATGACGATTGACAAAACAAACATTTACATTTTAACATATAATTCTCAATATAATTCATATACCTTGCTCGTTTTGAAAAAGAAATATGCAAGTCTCACCAAGAACGTCCCATATGCATACAAATATGTTATAAAGATACCAATAAGCTCAGATAAAAATGAGTTTTTTAAAAACACATATATTTACGCTTTTGATAAATCTTCACAACCATATCCTCCAATGAGATGTCTGACATTTGACGAAAAAGTTTATAATTTTGAGAATGTGACTGCAACGACAAACAGCATTATTGTAAATCTTCCGGAGCCAATTGTAAAGAGTGGATGCAAAAAATATAATTTACCAACTACTATATATACTATTTTTGTAAGCCATTGTTGTTTAAACAACAACCTCAACAAGTCTGAAAAATTCAATGTGCAGACGTTCGAGAGATATTACGAGATTCAAAACTTAACATCATTTACAGAGTACAAGTTGAAGTTTACTTTAAGCAATTTTTACTTTGATCAATTATCAATAAATCCATTCGATTCGAACGTGACACGAATAAAAACTAATTTGGGCAAACTTAATGTACCAGAAAATGTAAGTGTTTTAGCTTTGACGCCTACTATAGCAGTAGTTTATTGGATGCCACCCAAAAAATTGAATTGTGTGGTTGTGACCTATGAAGTGCATTGGAAGTTAGTGAACGACAAGCAACAAGAGAATAAACAAATTATCAATGTGCCGAAACGTGTGGCAGACGGCAGATATTTCACAAAGATTAACTTGTCGCTACCAGTACAAGATTTCTTGATATACGTGCGTGTGTATCCAAGTAATTTCAGCGATTTTTACAACGAGAGTAAAAAAAAGATCGATCTCATATACTTAGAACCAAACAATATTACTATGAGCGAGGTCAACACAAATAGCATGAACATTTCTTGGATCTCAAACATCAATCTGACGATCTCTTCTGCACTAGAGTACAAAAACGTTTCAACAGAAAAATGGCAAACAACGAATGATATCAGAATGAATTATAACGAAGAAGTAATATACCATATCAAAAATTTACAATCGGGAACTTTATACCAGTTTCGCTTGATATTGAGATACCTCGAATATGAGGAAACTTTTACATGGCCGTCTGATGAAAGATTTATTTTTTCAACACGTGGTAAGCAAATGAAAATATTCATACAGCACAATAAGGTTGCAGATATAATGAAGAATAATTTCATTGAAACATTGCAAATTGATTGCGAAACCTTGCTGCGTCATTGCTATAAGATGTGATAAAGTTAATCTGTCCGTTTTTTGCAATGAAACATTGTAGCAATATTACAGTTTAATATAGTGAAAAAAATGCAATATTATTATCATTTAATAATATTACGTATAAAATATTTTTGTTTTTGATGGATAAATATCTTAAAAACATATAATTAAATTAAAAAACTTGATATAAATAGAAGTTTGCAATATTTAAGATAATCATATCTAAGATAATATATTGAAAAATTATATTTAAACGTAATCATATAAAATGTGTTTTTATACGAAATAACTTTAAACTCTTATTTACGAATCATTTTTTTTATTTTAAATGTTCTATATACTTTTATAATGGGTACTTTATATATATATATATATATATATATATATATATATATATATCTTTCTCTAATGGTTAATTAATGTTTACACATATATAAACATTAGTTATATAATTAATTAAACATTACTAATTATATTTTTATTTAAAAATTTTAAAAATCCGTTTGTATTTATTTGTATGGGAAAAACATAAAAATACATTGAAAAATAAAATGATAGATATAAAAATATCTATTCTTTATATAATAAAAAGATATCGTATTCGTACATAAAGTAAAAATATATTATAAAATATATTTTAACATTGATATAAAATGTTATCTATATTTTAATATAAAAATAGAAATGCTTATCTTTAGCTTAGAATTGTATTTACTCGACTGATATTATTTCTGTGTCATTAATTCGTTTGACTTGCAAAAAAATAAAATTCATTGCATATATATAAATATAAAAATATATATTATTACATTATTTTTATAAATAAATTAAAGAGTGTAATTTCCCAATGGTTTCAAAATATCAATATTACATTGCTAATACCCAATTCATATTTTGTTAATTTATATTTCTACAATGTTTGTGTAATGTTGCATTGCAATTTGTGATATTGCAATATTGTTGCAAAGTAGTTGTAACATTCTGTACTGTATAGATATTATAATATGATATATTAATATTTTTAAATGTGAATAGGCCTAAAATTAAAAAAAAATAAATTTTTGTAATAAAGTTACAAGTAAAAATAAATTTTGAAAAACATATATACACGAAGATATTAAAATTATATTTTTACTTAATACAGATACTTCAGACACTCCTCGAATAATAGCGAAAACATATTACTCATTGATGTCAGGTTTTATCGTTATAGTTATTATAATCTGCCTCTGCTACTTTTATTGTTGTAAGTATTGTACATTTGATGTTGGTATCAACTTGAATTATAATATCTAAAAATTTACTAAAAATAGTAATTTACTTATATGAAAGTAAATGAATAAATTTAAACTAAAAAATGAAAAATTGTATAATACATAATTAATACATATTATTACATAATTAAGTCGAAATTTTATAACAGTGTGTCGTCAACGCAGAAGTAATAATGAACAATTTTTGTCTTCAACAATGACCGATGATATAGAATTGGGGATGCTACATGAAGTATTTTGCCAATACACTCGATTCAATACGAATTACAGTCCTATGTTACACTATAATCCGGATGAATGTGCGATAACTGAAATTGCACGTAAACAGATTATATTTGGAAAAATTATTGGTAGCGGCGCATTCGGAGAGGTAAAAATTAATGTTTTCAATCAATGTTTCAAATTAATTTCTGAATCAACAAAACAGATATGTATTTTCTAATAAAGATACAAATTATATAAACTTTTATAATAGATTATAAGTAATATAAAATTTGGATGAGACAACAAACATTCACTTTATTATATATTTTTCGTTAAATTATTTAATATAAAGCGACATATAATATTACGTGACATTAAACTATACATTTTCTAATAAAGTACGCATGTAAATTTGTGGGAAATATTTCGCAGGTGTATCAAGGAAATGTGAAAAACTTAGAAAGTTCGGGCACAGAGATATCCATTGCAATAAAAACGCTTCGGAAAGATGCTTCTTCCGATGAGGAAAAGAGATTGTTAAAGGAAGCCAAGCTTATGAATCGTTTTCGACACAAACATATATTAAGATTGTTGGGCGTTTGTTTAGATGGGATTTCACCATTTCTAATATTGGAATTGATGGAAACTGATCTGTTAAAATATTTGAGAGATTGTCGAAATTTGGAAGCGTCAGATTCGCACGCTCTGCGTTTGCAAGATTTGTTCGCCATGTGCGAAGATGTTGCGCAAGGTTGTTGCTACTTGGAAGAATTGCGTTTCGTACATAGAGATCTAGCGTGTCGCAATTGTTTAGTATCTTCGAGAAATCGCGAGAATCGTATTGTCAAAATTGGAGATTTTGGATTAGCTAGAAATATCTACAACGATGATTATTATCGCGTGGTAAATACAATTATTAAAAAAAATTGAAAATGAGTTCTTTTGAAAATACTTTCCATTTTTTTATCATAATAGTATCGTGCATTGTTTCTTCAAGTAATATGGAATATAAATAGTTTTTATTTATATATAGCAAGAGATAACGTTTTTCTTTTTGCACATATTGTAAAAATGAACAACTTGAACCAGAAAATTAAATGTTTTAATGTTTTAATTTTGTTAAAATCATGTTTTAGAGAGGAGAAGGTTTGCTTCCTGTTCGCTGGATGGCACCCGAATCTTTGATGATCAGAATATTTACTTCTCAAAGCGATGTTTGGTCATTTGGTGTTTTAATGTGGGAAATTACATCATTAGGTGAACAACCTTATGTTGACAAGACTAATGAGGAAGTGATAATTTATGTACTTGCTGGAAACAGGTTGCCGATGCCTCTTAACTGTCCGTCCGCATTGTACCAGTTGATGCTACGTTGCTGGAGTTCAGCGGATGCTAGACCAAATTTCGGATTTTGTCTGAAAAATATTATAGCATTGCGAAAGAACATAGAAGATGCCGTACTGAGTCCAGTCAATATTCTTTAGCCGATATAATTAAATTAATGTTTATTTTCTTTTCCGAATGATTCGATAAATCTTAATGTAGGAAAAATATATAGATGTTGCAAAATATTGTAAATATCTCTTTTTTTATATAAAATATAAAGAATTTATATGTACCATTCTATTATAGCCCTTATTTATATATTTTTATTATAATTTCGATATCAGTATAATATTTTTAAGCTTAATGTGCTATATATAATTAAATTATAAAATTTAATATAATTACAAAATAATATTATTATTAATAAATAGGTTGTATGCACACAGTCTTTTAGTTTCTAATCATTTCCAATCGCATTTCTATCCAATATATTTTCTCCTTCGAGTTCTTGGATTGTTATTATGGTTTATTGTATTCCTTTGTTTTAACATCATAAAGATTATCATCACTTGTCATGTTTATTCCTTTCTGTCGAGTTCTTCGGAATATATAAATCACTCACGTTTAAGATATATTCAAATCACTGTAATTGCCTTTTATTCAAATCACTGTAATTGCCTTTTCTCGATTACCATCTCTTTTTCTTTCATTTTATTCAAAAATATTAATGTAATTAATATAATACATTAATTAACATATAATTTATTACGCGAAAATGTCCAAAATATACGTATAATACGAAATTTAGTAAAAAATTTTATATAGTTTAGACAAACCTGATAAGCGATGATTAATTACGCGACATTTATCGTTAATAATCGATATGCAATAATAGAATATAATAAGTAGAATAATAGAATAATAGAATATAATAAGAGCCTAATTCTTTATCTATTTATTAATTTGTTAAAATATAATAAGTTTTATATAACGTAAATAATCGTGATTAAAAGAGTCATTAATAAAATTATTGATCATTTCTTCGATTGTAGAAGAAAGTATTTACATTACTGGCGCCTTTTGTGTAGATTATCAAAGAAAATATTCAAAACGCGAAAAAATAAAATGAGCTTTGATGTAAATCAACAATTAAATTACAAAATAAATCGCGATTTAAAATTCGCGAGAAAACGCGACGAATAAATCGATAATATTCAAAATATTCATATTGCGTATAATTTTTATAATATAATAATCGAAGCCATCAAATACGCTGGTGACAAATCGGTATAATAAAAAGAGGATCGATTTTAAAAATGGAGAAAGATTAACATCTTGTTCCTATATCAGATTTCGCAAGATCAATCTATGAAGAAAAATTAAGTGATCCATTGAACTTCGGGAACTTTACTGTAGAAGGAAACGAATCCCGGATCTTCCGGACTATTCCCAATAGCAATGATTTCATTTACTAAATCAACGACAATTATCCCTCATCATTATTTTCAATTCACCAAATTGATATTCACGTTAGAAAACATGTTCTTTCATTATTAAGAAATATATTTCTTTATTGAAAATTAAGTGGATATAACAATTTTTTAGAAATATGATTACGAACGATTTATAAATAATATTATAAATAATAAAATCCATGCATCATTAGAGTTTGTGTTGAATATGCGAACACATATAATAATTTTCGGGTACCTTTTCACGCGCGCGAAACGAATCGAATCCGATAATAGCAAGATTTAAAATTTTAATTGGAATAGTTTGCAAAAAATAAATGAATTTAAATTTTTAAATCAATTTTAAATAATAATAATTTTAAATAATTTTAATTCTAGAATAATTCTCCAAATTCTTATTCTTATAACGTTTAAATTAATAATTTTTTTTCTTTTAATCAATTTCTTACTGATACAGGGGTACCCATTCGATTTGTCTCGAAATTTTTAAGTATTCGCAGATTTTATGTAACATTCATATATTATTTCGCGTATATATAATATACATATAATATTAATACAAATTATAAAAATATTTTGGATACGTTAATTTATGCATATATTTTATATTATGCATACATATATAAAAATGGCATATATTTAAAAACTAATGTTCTGAAATGGCGATGGATGTCCAATACCTGTAAATAGTTTCAAGAAACTAAAAACTAACATTAATATTTCCAGTATTTAGAAATAATCTTTCAAAAAGGATATTAAAAAGGAATTATATTAATTAATAAAATATATTCGTTCATAATAATTTTCTCAAAAAAGTTAATAAAACCTAATTACAATATGCAATTACTTGAAGAATAGAAATTTACAACACTATATCCATATTTAATCTACTAATAAATCTTTCTGGCATTAGACAATAATAATACCAATCCTAATAATGATAGAACATTTTTTACGAAGAAAAGAAAAGATACATTTCTCTCATCTAAATATATATTATTTAAATTAATTCGACATTAAAGAAGAATATCCGTTGAATTACTACCGAAATCATTGCTTTTGAAAATTGCCAGGTAAAGCTGGGATTAATTCCTTCAATTTTATAATAAAAATTCCCAATTTTCAACAAGACATCGAACTAGACATCGCGAATGGATTTCACAAGAATCAGTGAGAAATAATTCTTCATGATGAAAATCATTTCGACTCCTCGGCAGTACGAGCCACGCAACTTTCGTTAACGTTTATACGGAAGGAACAATGATAACTCTTTTACTAAAAGGACAATCTCGTCTAGGAACGCGGAAAGAAACGCGAGGAAAATATGGTGTTTTCGCAACGGTAATTTATTAATTTATTTATGAATATTTTCCGATACGAAAAAAAAAATACGTAAATATAAATATAACTAAAAACAATTAATTATTAAACTCATAATAATTAACTCATGATTCTATAATATCGAAGGTAATCATTAAATTTTGTGAAACTAATATTTAATCGTTGATTTATCACATGAAATCTTCACTCTCTTATTCGAGATTTCTTTATATTTAATTAGCAATATTTAAGAATATTATCTGACGAGAAGAACAGCGATAAAATTCTTCTGTTAAAATGATAATCTTGTGTAAGGACGCGAAGAGGACGTGGAAAGAACACGGTATTTTCGCAATCATAATTTAATAATTTATTTTAAGAATATTCAGTTTCGCGCGATATAGAATTCATAAATAAATAAAGTTAACGAAAAGCATATTACTAAATTTATAATAATTGACTTGCGATTCTGTAACAAAGGCGTCCGTCAAATTTTATAATACTTATATTTAATCATTAATTTAGCATCGAATTTTTACATTTGATATAAAAATTTTCCGAATTTATTAATAATTCTTTGACATGAATATACAAACCATTACTTTTTTATGAATATTCCAAAAATAAATATATTATAGAACAAACACTTTAATTTAATGAATTACTATTTTGTTAATTACTTAATTATGTAATCATTATACGTATACTTTCGATAATTTTTCGTGTTATTTACATAAGAATTTGCAATTGTAAATATAATTTTATAATACAATAATATAATTATAGTCATAATTGTATTGTATTTTACAATTAAAATATCAATGTTAGATTACAATTAAAATATAATTATATAACTATTTATAAATTACAATTTACAATTTACAAATTTATGATGCTATAATATCAAATAATAATATTCCATTTATTCAAATATTTAATAACATCGATATAATAATTTGATATTGATAGCATTAACATTTGGATTTAATATTATATTTGATTTAATACACATATATTTTTTAAGTTTTTAAAATAAAATATAACATGTTAAGATTTCTTAAACTTTAATAATTGTGCAATTATTTCTTTAATATTACTGGAAATAATTTTGATAATTTAAATTTTACTTTTAAAACATTTTTATTCTTAAAACATGTTATACTTAATTTCACAACGTCTTTAAAAATAAATTCAACTTAATTAAAATTATTTTAATTTACCACTAGGATTATTGGAATATTAAAAGAAAGAATGAATCTTTCTTAATAGATAACCTAACAATCCTATTAAAAGATTCTAATAATTTTAATAGCTCTAACAATCTTATTATTACAAAATTCTAATGATCTTAAGAGCCCTAACAACCCTAATATTAATAGAAGGATTCTAATGATTTTTCTTAATAGCCTTAACAATCCTACTTCCTGATTATCTAAAATTATTCGAGATTTGAAGAACCTATCTCTAATCATCATCTCACCTAATCATGTATATATTTTAATCACGTGCCCTAACCGTACTCTTCAGGCCAGTTGAACCTACCTTTCGTTGATCCTGGCCACTTTCTTTCTCGATCTCTAATCAGAGATCGAAGAAGGAAATAATTACTCCTTTTAATGATAATTCCGGATAATTACTGACAAAAGAGCGTGAAATATTTACGCTCATTTAGTAACGATCGTTCGATTTTACGATCGCTCGTTAAATACTGAATATAACTTTATTTTAACTGAAAATTACTACAAATTACTACAAATTTCTATAAATTATATCTTATAATAAAATACATAATTAATGTGTGTATATTTATCATATTACAAATTATTTAATTAATTAATCATTTGGCTTTATATTAAGTTAGTAAAGTTTAGAAACAATATCTACAAACAAATTCTACGATGGATGAGCTATGAGCAATTAGAAGATAAGTGCGTATTATAAGAATAAATTAGCATCAAAAATTGATAAAATTGATAATTGTTAATGCGTGTCCTTTATTTAATAAATTAGACAAAATCTTTACAAAAAAATAATATTGTCTTGATCTCTTCTTTTTTTAATTAATATTTTAATATATTTTCTCAATAGATGTAAAGCATAAGTTCGAAAGAACTTATTAAACTTATTTAATTTAATTTAATGAATTTAATTTAATTATTTAATTTAATTTATTTAATTCAATCCATTCTAGCTCATCCATTTTATGGCAACGGATTTATCCGCAATCTACAATCTACATTTGCATGTACATCTCTACGAATCCGTTACCTTAAGTTAAATAAAAGTTTTTCGCACTCACCGGCACTGATGCGCAACAGCGGAGTTGTTATTATCGAAGCTAGTTACCTGTAACATACAAATATAAAATTTATTTATAATAATGCTCACCAAATGCAATCAATACTTCAAAAAATTTTTATCGCGCGGAATTTTATATCCGA